CATAGAGAACTGACTAAAACATGAAGATATATAATGAACATGTAGAACAAGAAACTGGTTTGTTGATATTAAAAAGTTCCAAGGAGTATCTGACAAGAGATACACCGGAAAGCAAGTGGAGCAGAAACTTGTACATAATTGTTAATTGCAGGCAGCCCCTTCAGGGATGTACAATAGTGTTGAAATGATAGAACTCAGCACAAGGATAACACATAAAGTGAGAAACCGTGCAATTTATTAATTGCAGGCAAGAGCAGCAAATTGTTTCATTCCATTATTCAAAACTTGCTTTCAGTACGTCAACAGCAACTCCTGCATTTTCTCCACCCCCCAGCAAAGTGCCAGTAAAAAGTGGTAATCAAATGTAACCTGAACATGCTTAACAATCATTAAAAAAGAGGGAACTACAGATGTGAACGCATGGCACAAACACGAACATAGAACCGTAGATAACAATCAGGCTCAACGAAGTTCCACGCAGATAAGTTAAACTCCAAAAACAAATCTGAACTGTCAGAATAGCAATACAAGAAAAATGGAAAGCTGTCATGGAATTAGGGTGGCGGGAACTTAAATTTAATCCAATTAACTCTCTCTTTGTATGTATGTGATAAGCCTTCAATGATATTAGCATTCTTTTTCTTTGAGAAGGAAAATTACTATATGGAATAAGAACTATCTCAATGGTATTAGCATTCTCCTAACCACCAAAGAAATTCTTTCATTCTTCGTGGAGGAAACATGATACTCCTAGAGAATTGCTTACCGCTTCAGTATCATCAAGGATCAGGACAGCACTTTCTTGACCCACAACAACATCGAGACCCTTTTGATGCCTCTGGGTGCAGTCTCCTTGAGCAATCACTCTAGAATGGAAGTAGATACCTCCAGGGTCAAGTAAGTTTGCCATTTCCAATGCATAAGGACGTTCACCCATCGTGTAAATGTGCATCTCGAATAAACTACTGGCTTCTTTCAGGAAGGTGTGGACAAATGGCCTCAACTTTGTCATCATGTGTATCCAATCCAATTTGAAAAGGTTGCTTCTCAAAGCATCTGTACATCACAAGTCGGCAAAAACATCATAAAACAGTGCAGAACAGATACCTGCAAAATAACTATCACAACCAAACAACAAGAATAAAAGCAAAAGAAGTCCTTACCATATATGAGGTCTAAGCAAACTAGTACGTATAAGAAAAGACAAAACTTAATGTACACTATGACAAAGATTACCATAAAGAATTAACAAAGTGAAGAGCTTACAAAGCTCTAGGGTTACAGGCCAGGTTATCAAACAGCATAATTTAGATGACCCATATGTCAGAAGTCCCAGAAAGGGAACATCAGTTGCAATCAGAACATGATATATCCATTATACTTTCTAATCAAGAGTGCCAGCTAAACATTCTTTTCCTAGCCCAGGCTTCTGCACCATTACAAGACACTAGTAAACATTAACTCTGCAAAAAACATATACCACATCATCTAAAATAGTGTAATCCCCCCCCCCCC